TATATTATATATATATATATATATATATATATATATATATATATATATATATATATATATATATATATATATATATATATATATTTGGATAACTATTTTAGTGATTATCGCACAAAACGCCCAGAAATAAGACGAACAAAATGGTGGATGTAATGCCGTACTCTGACAAAAAAGTTATCACTTGAAATTAAAATCTGTAATGGCCCAGTCGGGACGACTAGTTCTCGATTCGAGGAGTGGTAATAATATACAGTTTGTACTACTTCAGGGGAGTGGAAACTAATCACCAGTCCTTTGAAGTGTAGTGAACGCAGTGCATAGTAGTTTTATAATCGATCTAACATTGGTATAGGATGGTTACATTTCTCCTTATAGGGGTCACAGTGACATGACACCAGATACTTGGCGGAACAAGACCCGCGATACAAACTGTTCCACGGATATAATTACATGACATTTTAACGTGAATATTTCTCCAAGATGCCACCAAGGTAGGATTTATACTAAAGACATTATACGTGTCCCGAAAGGTTACACACCCTGGTGCATTCTGATGGTATTGTTTTCATATACCAGCAGTAATTTTAGTTAAAATCACTTTAACTGTTTTCGAACTTTAATGCAATCAAATTAGGGAGAGGATAATATTTTCATTGATAGTGAATTTTTACCCCCAGAAATTACCAGGATGTGTAACCTTTTGGAGGTCATGCATAAGATATACTCAGCTTTGATTGGTGATACAATATAGGTTAAAATGTTTAATTCTATAAATATACGTGAGCAGTATGTCGGTGGCCAACATCAGGAACGATTATATTACCGACCTATGATCGATGACGTATTTATTAGTGTTTTACATTTTCCCGAATGTCGCCCTCAATCTGCACGTATATATACATTTACATATCAAGCCGCGGCGACCATAAACCGTGTCCAACAAGGTATATTCCCCGGTAGGGGTGGATTGGATGGTGAAACCCAGTACAATCAACAACATTTATAAATCGACATTCAAGTCGTTGAGCAAAGATTAGGTCACTCGAATAGAACAACGTAAACAACTATTCACGAAATTACTGCCTTGGGTTTCAAATCTGTTAAGTAGTCAAGACTGAACAAAGTCGTTATTATTATCGAACTTTGGACAAATTCGACATTTTATTATGCTGCCATTTAAAAGCCTCGTTATTTTAAAGGCGTGAATCAATTAATGGTTTTGCAGACCGGACCGTATGTTTCGTGATTTACACTCCGTCAAAGGCATGGGTCATTTGCCGTGACCTCACTTTGCCAGACAAGGCGTACCCGTGGCATTATTCACATAACAACTAACTCTCAAACCATAACAGTGTTAAAATTATGACTTTGTGTCTTGCATATAACTTAGATTTGAACGGGGATACAATTATATTACGTGACATTAAATCACAATGGCAAGTGACGATCACAATACACTGCACACATTCAGGTTTCAATCAATTGACAATGAGTTGATTTGAGGTCAACTAACAACATGCGGGGCTTCGGCGTGTCGATAACGGTCTCCTTGGTTTTCGCAAGATTATTAGCAGTAAAAACATTTCACCAGATTAGAATTTGGAAAACAAAAGACAAATCCAATGTAGCGGATCGCCGAACCGTTAATCATGAACGGATTTTGAACAAAATAAAAACGGTCTAATTTGGAATGCTTCAATTATAAAATGACAATGGCACGAGTCCTTGGACAATTTGAATGACCAACCCACTAGCCACAAACTCTGTCTATAGCCGCCATCTTTGATTCAGGCTGTATGGTAACAAATTTTTTTAATGTACGTTTTAGGTAATTATGACTGTGCGCCACGTCTACTTATATCATCTGCAGTGAAAGACATTTCAAAGTTGAAACTCAAACGAATCATTGAGAAAAATGAAATTACAATAGTATGGACAAATTGCAGTGTTTTGCATATATTATAGTTATTATGCATATTAACTGCAGCCAATATACTTAAGGGATATATTGGTGTACCTGTGTCATTGAAAGTTTAAATATCATAGACTGTCTTCAGAAGGACATTAGTGTGAGTTACTAGTTCTTAACCTATAAAAACGAGTTTTTGAACCACTTTTCCGACTTTCCGACTAAATGTTTACATTTCATTGGTAAAAATGTTTGCAGTTAGTGTCCCGAAAAAAAAACCATATTTATAATATAGTTTGTATAATATTTATATACAGTTTTTACGGTTAGTTCTAGTGTGTGTTCACTGTAATATGAAAACTGTGGAATACGTGAAACACTAATATTTGTGAATATTCTAAATACCAGAAAGTGCAGAGCGAGAAACGCATTTCAAATGCGTGGAGTCTCACTTTCATTGTACTAGTATACTATGTACTCCACAAACATATCTCCCGCGTATACGTATGGCGTGGCATTTAGATACAGCCTATTTTATGCAAGATGTAATATCAGCTAATACTGCTGTCATATAATTCTGATTTATTATGTATTGTTTGACTATTATATTGTTGCGGTAACTTGGGTCTCATGCTTATTCGCGCATCTGCACGTATCTTTCAACAACTAGTGTGACAAGTATTACCTTTTGGGCCGATAAGAATAGAGTCTGGTAGTGAAATGCAACACACGTCGGAGGGTCCTTAGTAATTTGTTTTCTTAAGTACTAAGTTAAACACGGGTTTCAATTATTTTCGCTGTGCTTTGGAAAAGTAACAAGCGACACCTTACACTTTATGTCGGTGTTGATTGCAGGCTGTCCGTTAATATAAAGGATGTCTGATACAATGTTGTACACCAAAGAACGTCACCATCCATCACATATTCATTTATAGAATATCTAGACTTCTACAGTACTACGACTCAGTGCCATGTGCACATCGTGAATGTAATCCCTCTGACTGATATTCAAAACGAAGTTCAAATAACGCAGATAATAGTCCAAGATATTAAGTAGATAACTCGGCTGTGATAAACCTTAATGGCTATTATGGCTTCTCGTGATACATACTCAAACTCTTGTTGAAAGTCCCAAAAATAAGGCGACAAATAATAGTAGCAGTGTAGAGGGCAATGTGTTAAAAATTTAAAAAATGCAGTCTTTGATAATTCATAGTTTACAGTATCTAAACACTATTTGGCATAGAATAATGAGATTTTAATTATCTTCCTCGTATTCAGATGATGTTTATTGATGCTAATTTGAGTTTTAATGGCTGTAGTACTGCGCATGACTAACGTGTGAGAATGATCTAGGACAATTCTGACGTGAGGTCACATGCGAACTTGGATGGCTATTATAAAGGTGTAGCGAAACACAGTGACTAAAGTTGCTCTCCAAATCACATAAACAACCTAATCATGCGGAAATGGCAGGCTAAGTGGTGTTGACGTTTTTAATTGAGTTTACCTGGGTTACACCGACGAAGTGAAAATACATCGTGATTAACAATCACTGCCATTTAAATCAATATAATATAAACACAAACATAGTGAAAAGTTATAAAATGATTACAGGTAAAATTAATGTTATTTACTTCTGAACTTATATTAATGCACATTTATCTAATAAATTAATTACCACCTTTTATTTAGTTAATTTACTTGGTTATTTGTTTGGAATGCCCTTTTAATGTAATTGCATGTCTTGGTCTGGATGAGTACACTTTGTTTTCTGTTTAATAGCATGGGCAAGTTTGTTATAAACACTGGCCTTGTTTCTTCCCTGTGACCGTGACGAGACACAGATGTTTGCTAATTGGTGAGTTATATCCATAGACACCGGATGGTGTTGATGGGTGTTATAATTGGCCAGGTCGCCTGCTGTTAAGGCGGAAAGGTCATGATCGGGTCGCAGCGATAATGGTATGACTTGGATTAGGTTGGTTAAATCATCATCATTAATTATTGTTTTAAAGCAAAACCATAAAGAACTATGGTTTGGAATAGAAGTGAGATTAGTTAGTAAAGCAATATAAATCGTATGCATGGACACAGTCACCCGGCGAAGATATGATGTACGAGGGCAACAAAAATCCACAGACATCGCATTCTCGCCGGGTGTCAGGCTAAGGCAAGAGATACCCCGGATACAACGACATGCCTGGTGCAACGAGATGCGACGCGAAGCAAGGCACGCCACGTGTCAACCGCCTATGCCCGAAGCTACCATGTCACCGCACACCATAGTTGACCTCTTCCCGCGTTTTTTCTAGAATGTTAAATATTCAACATAATATATTTTTATATGATATTATCAATGCTTTCCCGGTAGGTGGGCAGGAAAAAAACTCAAACCGAATGTTTTCATACTCTAATCTAGCAACATCGGTCGATATCATTGGAAACCACGTATCAGTTACAAGCGTCATTACTATAGGCAACAATAATCAACTAACCACCCGAGGGCATCCATCGAAGTAACCTCCAATTTAAAGACAAATTAACACGGTTTCTTGAAAACGATTGAAATGAAAATTTAATTTAACAGATGTACTAGACGTGTTAGTTAAATCTGAGAGATGGGCAAATAATAAATTATTATTTATTTATTTATTTATTTATTTATTTATTTATTTATTTATTTATTTATTTATTTATAAAAGGGGTTTTAAGTAGCAATGGATTGGCTGGTAATGTTTTATATTTAAGCGTCTTTGTTGTTGTTGTTGTTTAATTTAATACATTTGAATTCATTACTATTCTCAGTGCCAGCGGCAGGCACCAGACGCACTCAGTAATTTCCACCACATGTTTTCAGATTATGTTATCCATTATAAACAGTTTAATTTAAAGTAATCCTAACACAACGTCTACTCAGACTGTACACTGATACCCAAATAAACATATAGTCGATTTATTTGTATAGTTGACCCGTTCCGTGGACTCTAAGAAGGTACGGACAGGACTACCAAGGTGAGATTTGTTCAATGTTTGGACAAACTCCGTGATCGGACGAGATGATATACTGTAAAATGACTAATTTTCACTGGGTTTAAATTTCGCTGATTTACCATTTCAGGCATATTCAGTAGGTTTTAAATTCATGGTTTTATCATTTAGATAATGTGTTCTATGCTAAATTTTACATATTCACTGGGTTTTAATTTAGCGCATTTTCCAGTCAGCGGCGAAATAAGCAAAATTAAAACCCAGTGAATAATTAACCCTTTTACAGTATCACACCGTATTTGACCCTTAACCTCGCCTTAATACAGACAGATATGCCTCAGTTGTCCGCACAATATATCAATAACACAGCTTTTCAGACTCCATATCTATGGCCTCTGTTTTAAATGCTTATATTCGGTGTTTGCTCTTAAATATGTCAGCCAGAAAATATCTATATAACCCGTGTGTCACAGAAGCCCACAGTCATCAAATTAATGGTGTATTATGCATTTTTTTGATAACAGATGGCGTATAACATTTCTCGACGAAACACTGTTACAATCACATACACTGTAACGACATAAAGTTGTCCCAATGTCACAGGCACTCAAAGGGATGATCTGGAGAAGGTTGCCAATGAGAAGTTACTGAACTAGAACCTGGACCTAAACTGTTGTTATTTATACACGTGTTAACAATTTTGTTTGTATGTTTATTCATTTTAGAGTAATATCTCGGTTTGTTTCAGTTTGGTTTGACATACACGTGCATATTTTAACCTAAGTTTCGCAATCACATATATGCTGACAGCCATTCAATGAAGTAGACGCTTTGATCAGTTCACCACAGCACAATTACTTACGGGTTATGGTAAATTCCTTGCATTTTGTTGAGAAGAGCAAAAGATATTACGTAGCCATTCCTTTCACCATTGCCTCCCTGGCATCGGTCACATGTACACAGAGTGGTGAGTCTTATGTCATCCAAATTGTTGTCTAAGGTAAGAGCTGTCAAATAAAACATTAATTCATAAAATACAAGACACGTGACGAAAAATCCATTTGCAATGTGAATATATTATCACAGTATACTGGTGACGGATGTGTGTAGTTATAACATAATTTAAAGTATGGTGATTGAGGTACAAATTAACTCCATAATTAGGTCGTACCAAGTAAGGAGGCACTCGGTATTATGAATTTAGCCTAATGTAAACAACAGATTCTTGCAACAGATTATACATTTTTAACATGAAATTTGTTTAATACTGGATTATTTGAAACATGAAATGATTTAATATTAAATAGACTATTTGTTATCAGATTATGAACGGCGTGCGTTTAATAGATTGATGGCGTTGTTCGTAAAATGGACCCGACCCACCTTATGACTGTACTTCGACACATACAAAATAAAATTCAAAACGTTTGGTGCTATTGAAATGTATCACGAAATTGGGGAATTAGATGTTAATAATTTGCATTTTACCCATAATAAACCAGCATTAGTTATAACATGTAAACAATTATGCCTCTATAAAGTTTATGAGGAGTTCTTTACAGAAATAAAATTATAATTATATTAAATATGTCGCCAATGACTACTAGAAAAAATAACTCTAAATTAGTATTTTTGTAGGTGAAGTTAATGAGAACGCTCACTGGACGGTGACAATGACATGATTGTCTTTTTTTCTATTTTAAATGTGCACTCATGCAAAAACGCGCTGACAAGTATGCGCCATGGAATTCAGTGTTTGTGCTTCTGTTCAGCCTGCACACATTGCCGTGTACGGTTTAATGTTGACCTATATACATTTCAAATATTGTTGTATTTAGTTTCACAGTTTGCTGTACGTTGATGACGGGGAGCTCTCGGTGTTTACGTTACTTTGATGTGAGTAGCACGGTGCGTGGATACGTACACGACGTACAAGTAGCGGTAGTCGATAATGTCAGAGAATTACTCCCACTCCGTCACCCTCCGGGGGTCACCCGACACCGTCTAACTTGGTGGCGTCTGTTATTAACACGTAAAGTGTATTTTCGCCTGCGAACAAAGTATAAAACTAATGGTATACGAGCACTGCTCACTGCCGAGGGCTTGTTAGCAACTGTAAGGATGCCACACAGATTGACAATTCAGCTAGCAATCCACATGGGAACGTGGATATGATTGGCTCAATAACTACTCGTCTGTGAAGCCCCTTACACCAACACTCAGCATGTTGTCTTTGATCTAAATTTAGAGTGTCTCTTGCTGTGTTGTTTTTACGCCGTCTAATGATACCAATCTATAGGTGCAATACTGTCACAGAGAGTAGTTGTTGTCATGTTTAAAAAGTGGTGACATGGCTAAACTATCCAATGTGAACCAAATCGTGCACGGTCTGTTTAACAAACTTAATAGAAAAGGAAGAAAAACGACGGCATAAGTCAGTGGGAACCAAACAATCTCAATAACCCAGGTCACAACAGAGTCCCGGTAAAAGCCTGCTAACATTGTTACAGTGATTGAGAACGGAGACATGCATGGAATGCCAATACAAACATTTAAAACCGTTCATACCTTCCTCGTTGTTCAGTATTCCATTCGGATCACAGATCCACGACTCTCGCTGTGGGTGATTACATATATCCGTTGAATCCAGAGGATTTGGGTAGTCTTTCAAATCCCACTCGAAACTCGGGATATTTAGCGTTCGACTATGAGTAGCATGGATCCCTACTAACTTGCATAGAGCCGACACGAGCAGCATATACATCCACCATGTTGGATTCACCCTCATATTGGTATAGCCGGGTCATTACATGCACACACTTCTGGGTTTTGACTGTACTCTCGCCGTAAGGTCACGTAACTTTTACCCACTCTACATTAGAAAAAAAGACACGAATTAACGCACTGGTTCCTGGGTAATGGGTGTTTACACTGTATTGTGTGTAGAAGCGGCTGGGAGAGAACGCTCTCGGGCAATACTGTGCCTTTCAGCTCTAAAATTACAGCTAGCCCTCGACTTCAGTTTAACAGTCAGTTTGTGCATTCGTTCCTTTGTCCCACTCTAATACTGGTACTGAGTGCACGTCACGGCGCTGCCCGCTTTCAGCACTCCAGTTCAGTTTTCCAACGGATACACTGCGCTACGGGCACCGTGACCACGAATCTAACATCATTCCATATACTACTATGTGCGATATGAAATATATTGATCACTTAAACCACATATCTATCATCATTTGTGTTATATCTTTCACATATATCTATGCCATCTATATGTGCAACGTATGTGTGGTATTAACACCCTAGTCATGAATGCGCTGTACTTACGTGACTCGTTCGTTATTCCCATTGGGTTCTGTCAGTATAGTGCGGATCTGTTACTATAAACACACGACGCACATATATTTGCAATTACTCCAACATCGGCGACGATAATAGGGAACAAACAGCGCTGCTAAACTGATCCAGTTTTCGACGTTCTACTGTCATTGTTAGAAAAAATATAATTATCAGAGTGTTCTCACACTCGGTGTGCGCGTTGCCACTCTATAGAGGGCGCACTTGTTATTGCCATATCAACTCCTGAGAATTCCTGGTGTTTTATTTATTTTTCTTTCTGCTAGTGCTTTGTCAGCTGCAGGGAGTCACAGTGAAGTGGTATTTGAGATACAAATTAGCTGGAAACAGTGGAAGCTTAAACCAATTACATGTTCCTAAGAGCATGCTTCT